GATGCTGCTCAGGGGTAGAGCACTTGCCTAGCATGTGTGAAGTTGTGGTTCAAGCCCCAGAGCTGAAAAAACCAGGTAGCATTTCTCAGTGCAGGACTCCGAGCAAATAGATCAGAGCAGCTGTGTTGTGTAAATACATCTAAAATGAGGAAACCTGAAAAGAAGTTGGAAGTGAGCACAAGATTGAGAGACAAATTTAAAATGTTGGAATAATCAAACACGTGAGCAGTCTCATGAAGAACATGGAGTTACAGCCATCGCCCGACTGGTGTTTCCCAGCTGCCCCTCCAGCAAGGCAAGTCAAAAGGGCCCAGCCCTTGATTGAACCAGGCTCTGGTCTCACACAGAAGCAGAGAGGCAGCTGGGGTGGATTATCCTGGTGGGTTTCTCCCTTTTAGCTCTCAGAGTTACTGCACACGTCTTACTGGAGAAGCGGCTGCTGTGACACATGGTCATTCTTGTGCCAAAGAGAGGATGAGGGATTCTTACTCCTCCCACTACCACATAAATACAGATGCTTGAGAAAAGAAGAGGGAGATGGGCAGAAGAACTGGGTGTGGTGGCAGAAGCCTGTGAGCCCAGCGCTGGAGAGGCTGAGGTAGGCAGATGGCTGTGGGTGCAAGGCCAGCCTGGGCTATGCAGTGAGACCCTGTCTCAAAATAACAAAAAAACAAAAGCAAAAAGAATTTTTCTAACAGAGGGTTTTTCCTCCTTCCCACTCAGATCAAACCCAAGGCCCTGTGCTTGTTCTAAGCAGCACCCCGCTCCCGGGGTTTATCTTTCTGTTGTGAATCAGGTTAGTTCGGGCCCTGGGTACAAAACAGAAAATGGTCTCAGTACCCAAGCAGGCTGCCTGGGCTGCTGCAGTGAGGGTGGTTTGTGCACTGTGGAAGGAGAGATCTGGCTTCTTCCTCGTTCTCGTTTATTAAATAGATTTTTCTTATGTAAGGGAAGCCCCAGGGTTTTATATGTTATAAGCCTCCCCCACCTTCCTCTTTCCATCTATCTGCATTGAGGTTAGAAAGGAATTTTCATGCCATTTTGTGAGTGCAGCTTCATGTTCCTGCAGTTTTAAGTTACTATAACAGTGCTTGTCAGTTACTAATGTTCTAACTCTAAAGCTTACTTTTTTTCCCCCCAGAACCAGAGATGGAACTTAGGCCCTTGCGCTTGCCCAGGAAGCACTTATTCCACTGAGTCATCGCCCCAGCCCCTAAATCTTACTTTTTAAAAACAGAGAAGCTTCGTGTATAGCTTAGCATGTATGAAGACCTGGATTTAATTTCCCGGACTATATTTTATTTATTTATTTACTTTTTTGGTACCAGGAATTGAACTCAGGACCTTGCACTTGCCAGACAGGCACTGTGACACTGAGCTACATCCCCAGCCCCGTGGCTACACTTTAAAAAACAGATATTGCAGATCTGGGCATGATTTCACACAGTGATTCTAGTAGTTGGGAGCCTGAGGCAGGAGGATCTCCATGAGTCAGGGGCCTGAAGTACATAGCAAGACTCTGTCTCAAACAAAATAAAACAAAACAAAACTACATATTGTAATCATTAGTTTTACTCTCACAAAATCCTTGGCCAATCCAACAACCACACCTCCATGACTAGTTAGTGCCTTTTAAAAGGTTTTCGACAGTTTTAAAACTTTTTAAGCCTCCATCCTAGGACAGGTAACATTGCTCCCACCGCAGGCATCACAGTAAGTGTGCCGAGAGTTTGGCGAACGTACTTCCCTTCAGTGTTTGCCTGTACAGTGAGCATTTGCCTTTCTTTTTTGCTCTCTTCTTTCACAGGCTCCCATGTGGGTTTTGAGCCACAGTTGGAAAAATGTGTCTCCAGACCACAGGCTTTGGGAGCAGAGCCCCCCAGTGGCCTCACACACATCTGCACAGGAGAGGAAATTCAGTTGTGTTCAAACACCTTACCTTCACTGACAGTGGTAACATCATAAAAATCAGCTGGAAACTGTCTCATTGCTATTTGTTTCTTAATAAAATTATTTTAAAAAATAAATAAAAATCAGCTGGAAAGAAGAAAGAAAAAAATGCCCAGAAGTCAGGATATAGCAAAAGGCAGATTGCATTACATGGCAGCCTGAGAAGCCAAAGGCATGTTCGTTACAGCCTGTCACTCTGCTGGGTGACTAAGGGACTGCTTGGTGCTAATAGTTTAGCAAAATAGTGTGACTGCATGGGCATGCCCCAAATTACCTAGCTGCATCACTTTTATGTTTAGAACTGAATGCCTCTCGAAGTGTACTCAGCTTCCTGCAGTTGACTGTGTGTCATTACGACTGCACATGTTGCAAACTCCACACATTAGGGCAATTTATCTCAGAAGCGCAGGGTACAGTTGGACTCTTGGGTCTGCAGGAGCTCGGTGTGTATCTGTCAGGTACACAGCTGTCTCAACACTTACCTGGGGAGTTCAGGGCCCGTAACCCAGCTCTTTATCTCAGAGACAACACTGAAGGCTAGAGAGGAGCCTCAGCAGAGGAAAGGACAGCCCAGACGAGGTGACGATGCAGGGTCTGAGCCATGCTGGTCCTCACAGTGTGATGCGGACCAGCAACTTTGCCTCTCTGAATGTTGTAGCCAAAGCAAATGGAAAAGAGCTCCATGGCCTCAGCAACTTCTGGCAAGCATACTACCATCAGCATGGCTGGAGAAGGTATGTTAGTGCTTCCAAAGGGAAACTGGAGGAACTCTTGTCTCAGCATCGTAGGGAAACTTGTAAAATCAGGAAGATTCTGTCTGGAGTTCTCAGTCTAAATGAGTCTAAACAATGCAGACAGAAGACTTGAACCTGTCTCAGGCTTCCATATCAAAGCTCTACTCATAAGATAAGGTGCCTGAGCCAGGCATGGCGGAGCACACCTGTAACCCCAGCACTCTGAAAGGCTGAGACAGAAGGACCATAGTTGGAGCCCAGTTTGGGCAACTTAGCCATCCCCAATCTCAAAATGTAAAATAAGCCTTGGAATGTAGCTCTCAGCATGAGGCTCTGAGTTCAAGCCTCAGTGCTTAAAAAAAAAAAAAAAAAAAAGCCAAGATGTCTGACAGAAAGGCCCACTGGAGTTTTATTTTCTCTGATCAATGTCTCAGTGTCTCTTCAGTAGTGTAACTGACTGTATCATGGCTGGACCTATACTCCTGGCTTTGGTTATGTTATTTATTCCAAGGCTCCTCTGGTATCCATTGACATAGCCATGGGAGGTGTTACAGTTTGTGTCTAGTTGTCTCTGCAAAGCCTCATGTAGTCATGGGGCAGACTTCTAGAGCTATGATTAATTCTTAATCCAAGGCTATGGATTATGGGTGTGAGTAATACAACTGACCTTACAATATAAAGAAGGAAGAGGGCTGCTCCTTCTCTGCTGCTCCTCCCTTTCTGCTTTTGCTGTTATGCTGTTTTTTCCACCATGAACTGCTGCCCTCTGCCATGTGCCAGTCTGCCTTGGAGCAAGCCGATAATGGACTGAAACCTCTACAAACTATGAGCTAAATAAACCTTTCCTTCCTTAAGGGCATTGGGTATTTTGTCCCAGCAATGAGAGAAAAGTAACTGAGACAGGAGGTGAGGGAAAGCAAGAGCATCCTTCACTTAGTGAACAGAAAACCCCCTCTTCCGTACTACCGGCAAGTATATGGCATATATGTAAAACAGAGAAGGAATAAGTAGAAAAGGACTTGAGATAAAAGGAGTCTAAAAAGCCAGCTGCACCTTCCTAGTGAGGTATGTTTTAGCCTCATTTCTTCCAATAAGTTAAAGGAAATCACCTCACTACATGGAGCAGTTGATACGCTGCGTTTGAGGACCCCTGGCACCCAGCAGACAGACGCCAGTGCCAGTTGCCTTTTCATTTCATTTGGCTGAAAGAATGACTTTCTGTTCACTGAGGTGCATCTTCAGTCTGTTATGGAATAGACATTCCCACAGGAACCTGGCTTCAAAGGGATTGCATGTTTTAGCAAAGGAAAAATAGGCACAATAGAAACCTAGTACTTTATGGCTGCCACAGCTATGTGGTACCTAAGTTGGGATTTTCACACTCAACTTTAGGACCTCTCCAGCTAAATTTTAGTTTGTCTGTTTTCTAACCTCAACTGAAAGAAGAGTCAGATAACTTAGTTTTGAAAGTTTTCTTATCTGGAATGCCTAATAAATCTAACACAATCATTTGGCTCTGGGGGTGGGGCAGGGTCAACATATGAATTATACTATAGGTTTTAAGCACTAAACTATAGGTTTTAAGCACTGTTAATCATTTATTAAAGACTGAGAACCAGGCACTGTAAAACATTATTGCTATAGTCCTCACTACCACCCTAATAGCAAGAACTATTAGGCCAAGATTTAGATAATCTTAAGAATTCTGAGTTTGTGTTTTTCCATATGGCCTAGTGCTTATACCAGGGAACCATCCTGCCCATAAGCTTTGCCTTCTCTTAGACTTGTACTGCCTTTAGGCTGAACACTTTTGGCAACCTTACAACATCCTGTCCTGATGGGGATTAGATTTCTTCACAGACTGCAACATCACAATTCCCCCACCCTCAGGTATCTAATTTACTTAAATAACATGTAACATGATTGAGCCAAGAAAGGCCGATAAGGAATGCTTTCATTAGCATAGCATTTATATTTAAATGAAGTTTCAAACTGAAAACTGGTTTCTCACTAACCAACTATCCCTCAAATCTTTCCATGTTTCACTTTCAAGGTTTGCAAATGCACCAATACTGTGTTTGGTGAATGGATGAACAAATCTACTAAAAAGGTATCTGCCAGATTTGATGATGTCCACCTATAAAGCCATGAGTTTGAGGCCAGGCTGGGCCATATAGTAAGACCAAGGCCAGCCTGAACTACATAGTGAGACCTGTCTCGAAGAATACAAACTGTAACAAAGTCTGATATAGTAAGTTCTTGACTTGTGAACATTCAAGTTACAAACTTTCACAGGTATACCAAATGGGACACACTTCATTGGGTACAAAGAAACCTGACAAACATTATCCCAGAACAAGTCAGGGAATTATGCTGACCAATGCCTATCCACTTAGGAAATAACATAAATACTGTCCGACCTTCTTTTTCAATTCCACTATTTTTTTTAACTCTATCTTCAATGAATTTCCTTTCGGCTTTTACTAGCTTTTCTCTTTCTTCTGCACTCTTGTAGAAAAAGCCAGAGTTCACTTCTGTTTTCTCATATTCCAAGGAGACATTGCATGTGAGGATGTATGTATTTTCCACTCTTTTTTTCATATCAGGGTGCCGTGCCCTATGGTCCAAAACAAGCCCCCTGATTAAGCTTGTATCAGTTTCCGACTTATGCTTCATCTCCATGATCTCAACCATGAGCAGGTCAATAGGTTCATCTTTTCTCCTAATGGCCAAAATGGAATCTACCACAGCCTCTGTTAGGACATCTGCAAGTTCTGCGTGAACTTTAGTGCGCAGAGATGTTCTGGCCACATCTGTAAGTATCTCCCTGTCCATCTCTCTGCTTACTTTAACTTGTTCCAAAAACTGTAGGGCCTTTTCCTTTGCAGTTTCAAAACCTTCAGTAATTATTCGGGGATGAAGACCCTCAGAAATGTAGAGATCTGCCTGTTTCAGCAGCTCTCCAATAATCAGGACGTTGGAAGTAGTACCATCACCAGTTATATCATCCTGGGCTGTTGCTACTTTTGCTATTAAAGAGGCCGTAGGGTGTTGAATTTGCATTTCGTGAAGCAGCACATTGCCATCTTTAGTAAGCTTGATGTCTCCGGCGCCAGAAACGAGCATCTTCATGGTGCCTTTAGGCCCCAAGTTGGTCCTCAACACGTCCTGCAGCCCCCTCGCCGCGCTGATGTTGACCGCCAGCGCCGCCTGCGCGCTGGCCACCTCGGCCTTGGGTTCAGGGTTTTCACAGCAGCCATCGCTGCCCGAGTGGAGCCAAGTAGAGGAAACCAACGTGAGGCGCAAACGCCCGGTTCAGCGTGGCCGAGAGGCTCTATCCAGCAAATAAAATTCTTTAATAAGCTTCCATCAGATTTTTCCCAGCAATTCTCAGGAAATGAGACTTCCTACCAGGGGTTTTGCAAAAGGCAGCACTGCCTCCTCAGTGACTGGTATGCGCTGGAGCTCATGGCAACCTGGCGTGCAGGAACTCTGGGTAGCAGAGCGAGGATGGAACAGTATGAAAGTGAGCATGCTGGCTTCCCAGCCAGGCTGTGAAATGCAATCTTTTTCTTTTTCTGAGGCAGGGCCTCACTGTATTCCAGATCAACCTCAAACTGCATAGGCTTATGCCATCAGGTCCAGCGCCCAAGTGACACAGTCCATGACATTTCCTGACTCATCTCCGATGGAGTTACTCACAGAGTTGGCCTAGCCAGTTCTAAAGTATTTCTAGTGTTAACCTGGAAGAAACATAACAAACAAGAGAACTATTTTCTGTGGGCTATGACATTTACACAGCTCTGGCTTATCATATGGCCTTCAACGAGTCATAATTCTTGGGTGACTTAGTCTCTTAGGACTTGCGAAAGGCCAGGGCAGACAAAGAATCTCTAAGTAACCATGAAGCATCCAGCTAAAAGCTTTCTGCACAGAGGCAGTCACAGATATTTGTACTAAGGTCCAAATCCTAAAGTTTATTTTGTTTTTCATTACACACCCAACCGTTTGCATAAAACCCCACAAAATGAGTGTAGGGAAAAAAAATCTATTTTTAGGCTGAAAAATGACACTCATAAAATTGAAGCTGCCATAAATTTTCACACTTGGGTATAAAACAACTTCCAACTAGGAAAACCAACAATAACACACAGACACACTTGAACCTAATAGTGGTAAACAGTTTTTATTCAGGCAATGAAACATGGAAAAAATATATTAGTAATCATTTTAATAATTTCATTTGTATGAGTATAACTTTTACAAATATTTACTTGACATATAAAAGGGAAATTACTATGTATATAAAATTTATGTAGATGATTATTCCACACAACAATCCTGACAGCAGTAGTCAATGCAATGCTCGCCCCTCTAGATGAGGGGCTCCTCACATGACCTAGGGTGGCCACAGGGACACAGGGAGCAGATGTGCAGTGAACGTCTACAATAGGGATCTACTGGCAAACATTCGCTTGCTAACAGCAACAGAGAAGTCTACTGCTACCTCTGAGGTGCAAAAGTGCCTGGGTCTTGCCCTGTGGCTGGGAAGGACAGAGGTGAGGCCCATGCTGCGGGTATGGCCATCTATGATGCCTGGTATCTGGATTAGGCATGGTTTCTGAGCTCAAATTTGCATATGTTCACTTAAAAATTATTCCTAAATCTAGAATATCAGTTGATGATCTGACTAGGAAATACAATTGAGAGCACTGTATATTCCAGATGCCATTAAGAGGCAGAGGCAGAGGCGATGGCGCTCTGACAGTGGCAAAGTGAAAAGGAAATAGTAGGAAGGTTCAGGTCACACTGCAGCTTTGGGCTTGGCCTCCTCCTGACAAGTTAAAGCACTATACAGACTGCCACAGACCAGCATCGCACGCAATGTCTCCACATTAGAACTATAACCAGAATATACATTTACATAATAGCTGTAACCATATTACAGTTAACAAAGTCATTCCTTAGGAATCATGTTTGTCCAAATCTAACTGCATGCTAAGAGGCACAGAAATGGGATTGCATTTGGATGAAAAACTACAAAAAGTGCAATCTTTAGTCTCCAGAATGCAAGCTCTGGCATGAGGGAGTGAGTCTTCACCAGAGAGTGCTGCCATGTATTTATTGTCCCAAGGAGACACTTACAGAGAGGAGCATACTGCATCAATTCCTTCACCTTCACTGTGTAGAGACTCAAGGACTAAATGGGAAACTGTATTTTTTTTCTTTGTGGGCTGGGGAGGGAACCCCAGGCCTCACACATGCTAGGGAAGCACTCCACTGCTGAGCCATGCTTTCAGTCCCATAAACTGACTTTAAAAAGAACTGGAATCTGGAGTCTAGTGAAAGCTTTCTGGACAGAAATTTCCTTGAAGTGTTTATTAAAATCTATGAAAGAACATGACTTCTTAGACCTTTGGCTTGACATTCTGGGATTCCCAGACTATATCTGTTTTTTTAAGAAGTACACAGGAATCTGTTATCTTTAAAATTCTTCAGAATATATACATCTTCTCTTTAAAATCTCTTGCCTGAATCATTTAATCTTTTGACACCTAGTTTCTCTCTTCCTAACAAGAGGTTAAGGAAATTCAAGTCTGAGAGCAAACGCACCTGGTCACACCACCATGAGAAACAACAGTCACAAACAATTCATGAGATGGGTACTACCTGCAATGAAAACCACAAAGGAAAGAAAAGGGACTTTGGGACACTCACACCACAGCAAAGGATGTGCTGCTATGACTCAGTGTAGAGGAGACTAACCCACTGGATCTCAGCCCCTGGGAGCCCTCTGTCAGCCTTGTCCGCAGGCGGCAGGGCTCTGGGTGGATCCAGATTGGACAGCCTGAGCATAGGGGTGCTATGTTCCCGTATACACAGACAGATGTGCTCAGGGCTGTCTAGTATCCATGTGGAGGCTGTCCTGAGTGTGAGCAACAGGAAAGCCATTGGCCCATAGATCCAAGCCACTGCAGAAGGCTGCTAGAGTCTTGGTTTCTCACCACCATGCACTTCTGCACTTGTTGGCTTGGGCTGGTTCCAAAGGGGCTGGATACTGGGCATTTCAGTGTCTCTAGAGCAGCTCTAAGGAGCACAGGGCTGGGGCAAAGTCATTGGAGGTTTTTTTTTTTTTTTTTGCAAATGAGGTCAAGTCTAGGTGTGACTGTGACTGTCTAGCCAAGAACACAGTAAACTGCTCAGCCTATATCAAAAAACTGCTGGATCAAAGCAGTTTACATTTTGGCAAAGTCAGAAGCTACAGACATGGCTCTGGACTCACAGTCTCAACAAGATCACACAGTGATTCCCAAATCCCTATGTAAACCTGCAGTTTTCTTCTATTTCCCCTTTTCATTTTTGAAACAAGATTTTTTGTTTTAATTGAGCAAGTAATTTAACGCTCACACATGTTGAAACAGACCCCAGACCAGTGGTGACGAAGTTGTGCCACAGTGCTGCAGCAAGTTGTTTGTATCACTGAACGTTCCAAAAAGTTTGCCATCACTGCCCTAGACTATATTCTCATTCCCCAGGATGAAGAAAAGTGTTTTTTTTTTTTTGGTGCTGGTGGTGGGGAGACTTTAAAAAAGAAGAAATATCCTTCATTTTGCCTAGTATACTCCCACCCTGCCTGCTCCCTTTTTAAGGTATTGAACCCTGGGCCTTTGCACTGAGCTATATCTCCACACTTTTTAAAATTTTAAGACAGATCTTGAACTTGGGATTGTCCTGCCTCAGTCTCCCAGAGTGCTAGGATCTAGGTCTATACCACCATGCCTGGCTTTAGGCTATATGTTGTCTTGATATGCCAGCTGTACAAGCTATGTTTTTTTCTTGTTGAAGAGGACCTAGTAAGTGAGAATGGTGGACACTCCTTATAATAGTCATGATTACAAGGCTAATGGCAAATATCATTTAAACAAGGGCCCTTCTGTACTCCTTGTGCAGGAGTCTCATTCAGCAGGCTCTAGTTTTCAGGGGATCTCTTGGATTAGTGTGCTAGGGAAGTACTGTCATCAGCTATGTCCTAACACAGCATAGTGAAATTCTGAAATACACAGTAAGATTAAAAAGATGCTGACAGGGCTGCCTAACTTGTGCAAGACTCTGGGTTTGATATCTAGCATGGCAAAGCAATTTTTGAAAAGAAAATAAGAACGATGACTATGGATTTATATTGACAACACTATAACCCTTTCATACTTAAACAGACTGATATAAAATAAGAATATATGGATCTATGAAGATTTTACAATGTTTCTGCAAACTGCATCAACTTCCCTCACAGAAGAGGACTAAGAGGAAGCTGGTCACACCATCAGGAGACACTTGAGGCTGTGACTACCGGGACAGCATTCACATTAAGCCACAGTGACTACTCCAAAGCCCAAATGATTGTCAAGCCACTCTCTAACCATAGATAATTTTTTTTTTGTAAAAAATGTTAAGACAATAGGCTTTAAAATACAGCCTAAGCACCAATTACAATAAATACATATTGGTAAAACATGACTTCTGGCTTTGAAAGACATTATTGACTTCCCTGGGGCTAAAGATTGCACCCACGTGAGTAACACACTGCTAAGGAAATATTCACTTTCAAGATCTACAGAGGTTTTCACGAGGCACGGTTCATTGTTGAAGTTGGCTCATGCAGAAGTTTTACAAGTAAGAAAGTACAGGTACTGAATATAATGCATACCACCATGAAGCCTTTCAGGGGGCAGGATTAAGACAAAGGAGTACTCTAAAACACTCGTACAGATTTGGTTTGTCCTATCACATAGAAAGGGAGGGATTTGCTGGCCTTAGGTGGGAAGCATCCATTTCAGGGTTAGTGTCTTCCACTCTCAACCAAGGCTAGCAAGAGCTTGAGGAGCTTGGTTTTGTTAGTATGGACTCCTCATGTTCCCTTCCTCAGCGTTCACACTGTCTTTGTTTAAAAATGCTCACAAAATGTTGAGACATGGAGGGGCTCACATGATTTTACTACCTGTTTTGTTAAAATTCTATGTTAAAGTTTGGAAAGGTTTTTTTGCCTTTTTTTGTGTGAAGAACAACATACCAGGCCTATAAAAACAAACAAACAAACGAACAAAAAACTCTGTTCCTCTTCCTTATAAATGGTAATGGGATACAGTTACTCTGTCATTAAATGAGTTCATCCAAACCTTTCACAAAAACATTTTCTTGGCATATTTGAAAAATAGATTGCAACGATGTGATGTTGGGTCTGTATCAACAAATGGAAGCCGAAGGAACCAAATGATTCCAGGTACATTTGCCAAACTTCAGCTCTGAGGGAGTCCTGTGCTGCTGTTCATGCACGACACTAACTATTTAGGATTTAATCTATGATACTTCCTGTTTATAAAGTGAAATTAACAACAGGTCAAATTATCTTCCCTTCAATAAAAATGATGATAATGAGAATTAATAGGTTAAGCAGGTCACAAAAGTCCCAGACAGGTGGAAGAGATGACCTTAAATAGTAAGCCACAGAAATCACAAACTGAACAAAAAGTAAAGAGAATCTAAGACAAAATGAAGACAGACCACACTTAGTGGCCTGGCTCACTTGACTGCAGCCAGAGCTAGCGTGAGACGCTGGCTGTCAGGTCTACGCTCCTTCCTGAAGGGGCCATGCTCCAGTCTCCTCCGAGGCTGTGGCATCAGCAGCGAAGCAGGACAGGCAGCAGGAGGCATGTGCTTTTCATAAAGTTTTTGTTTTTTTTTTTCCTCTGCGAAGGGGCAATTATTGTTGGATAAGGCAAGATTAACTGTGGTCACAACAGAAGCAGCCAAGTGCAGATCTGCTGAGCTGACAGGACAAATCTCAGTCAGTCTTTCCCAGCTTTGCAATTAGCTCATCACAGATTTTTGTCAGTTCTTCAATTTCTTGATTCTGAAAGACAGACGACATGATTATGCAGGCTACTTTTGTGTTCTGAGATAAATGCAATTACAACAAGAGTCCTAAGACCAGCTGGGTTTTCCCAAATAATCCTTCATTCTTCTACATTTGAGATCTCATTACACTATATATTCTTCCCCCTAAAAACTATGCATATACTCATGGTATGAGGCTTAAACTGAGTCAAGGCAGGGGTAGTCACTAGCTCCATGAAGCCTGACCATTAACCTCTTAGTTTCTAGATTTGCTGATACCACAGGACTATTTGGGGTACTTTCTAAAAACACCAGTAACTGAATCTCTCCCAGGGATCAAGATGCTGGGTTTGAACAACCCAGGGACACTGAGGGACCATCAGACCCTACTTTATTTCAGGGGCTATCATAGGCTTGAGTGTGTAAGTGGAGACAGACAAATGAAGCATGGTAACAGAGATAAGCAAAGCTAGGAGCTGCTGTGCAGGAGGCAGGCTGATGCTTTCTTAGACTTTGGTTTCCTGCCAGCAGAGCTCTTGTGGCAGCACTGCTGACATGCTAGACCGCCAGACTTCCGGTGTGGGGCCATCCTGTGTGCAGCAGGGTGCTTGGCATCATCACTAGCTTCTCCCCACTTGACACTAGTAGCATCTTCTAGTCATGACAACCATTTAATCTCCAGACATTGTCTAATATCCTCTGAAGGGCACAATTACCCCTAATTGAGAACCAATGATCTAGAGCAATGCAAGAGGAAGATGATTTCATGCACTGCATAAGAAACAAACAAGAGGAATAAAAGGCAGCCTTGTGACCCTGCCAAGGAAATGCTGGATCCCCTGAACTTGTGAGAACTCAACTTCATATCTGCACCCTTCCTGTGGATGATTCTCAGATAATATGCCATGGTGTGACTTGTCTCCCCAAGTCAGTTCACAGAGCTGGGTTGAAGGCCACTACCCACAGATCGATCCATGGTAAAATGCACACACACAGGCCTGGCCCTGACATGGTGGGGAGGAAGTGGAGGCCTTGGTAGCCACCTAGTCTGAACCTCTGTACCTTTTGCTGAAGGGCCCTCTCCAGGGACTCCACCTTCATTTGCTCTTTCCGGAGTCCGGCATGCAGAGCTGCACTTTCAGCCTTTGCTTTTGTGCGAACCTGAGCAATCTCTTCATTGGCTCTAAAGATAGGGTTTATTTATAGAACAGAGACAAAAAGCATGTTAGGCATCAGGCACAGCTAGAGTCAGGATGACTTTCATAACTCTGACAGATGACCAGAGAAAAGGTATTCATCACTTACCTATGTAATTCTAATTCCTTCCTTTTTTTTTTTTTTTTTTTTTGTGGTACCAGGGATTGAACTGAGGACCTTGCACTTGCCAGGCAGACACTTATGCCACTGAGCTGTCTCCCTAGGTTCAATTTCTTTTTCTTTTTTCAATTGACTGATTAATTGATTTAGTACAGCATCTCATTATGCAGCTCAAACTCATAGTGATACTCCCATCTTAGCCTCCCCAGTGTTGACATTACAAGCGTGTACACCAGTAATGTCTGGATTCAGGGCCAGCACAGTATGCGGTACCAGGGATTGAAGCCAGATCCTGGTGCATTTGCTTGCCAGGCGGATGCTTAGACCATTGGGCTATAGCCCCAGTCCCCTGGCTTCAATTTGAGTTAACAAAAATTCAAACAACTGCTGCTCAAGTTCCCATGGCACACAATTCTTCAAAAATTATATTTCATGAGAAGACAGAATTAAATCAGTTTCTGTAACAATGAGCTGGAAACTCTAGAGGTTATCATAGCTAATAGAGGATGCTAACCATCATTATCTGACACAGACCTCTAAGAAATGACTCTGCTAGTGAGATGCAAGAAGAAATCTTAAAGACCAGAAACATTAGTTGATAATAGCCAGCTAACTGATAAAAGGGCATTAGAACTTCACTAGTCTTCATAGACATGTAATTCTTTTTATTGCAGTACTAGGGGTTGTACTGAGACATCCTCAGCACTTTTGTTTTACTTTTTTTTTTTTTTTTTTGTATTTTTAGGGAAGGGTCTACAGGGTATTCAGGGTCTCACTACTAGATCGGACTCTAGTGATCCACATTTTTACAGCCTCCAAGAGCTGGGATTATAAGCATGCGCCACCATGCCCAGTCTCAATTGCCATCTCAGCTTGCCCTGGGGGCGGGGCTGGCACAACAGGCCGGGGAATCAAACCCCCAGCCCCTGTGCCTGCTTGCAGGCTCTTTAATCTGCTGAGCTATTTGGCCTGCCCTTTACATTTATTTTTATTAGTACATATTTACCATACATAATGATCACATTCATTACAGGGTATTTAAACCTGTACATATCTTATTTTTTTCCATTTCTCTCCCCTCCCTTCAATCCTTCCTCTTCCTATTTACAGAAGCCTTGTTTCCATTTTTCCCTTCCATTTGATTTTTAAAATCTCTTTTACCTTCCTTCCCTTCTCCCTTCTCTTCCCATTTCCCTTCTCATTTGAACATTTTTTTTTTCTACTTCTTAACATGTATCCTCCAGTTTGCTCCTTATTTACCCTTTGGGTTTCTCACATTAGAAACAACACAATATTGAAACTGATTCATTTCATTTAAAATTGTGGTCTTGGGGGCCAGGGAGACGGCTCAGTGGAATAAGTGCTTCCCTGGCAAGTGCAAGGACCTGAGTTCAATCCCCAGTTCAGAAAAAAAAAAAAAAAAAAAAAAAATTGTGTTCTGAAGTACTCCACAAACACATTATCTTTATGCTTCTTCTGTTGATGAGCTGTTTCAAAGATTTAGTTATTGTTAACTGTGCTGCTATAAACATAGTATGCATAGCATCACTGTGGTATGATGCTTTTAACCCTTTTAGAAAGATATTGAGGGGGCTGGAGAGATGGCTCAGTGGTCTAAAGCACCTACTTGAAACAAGCTTGGCAATGCACAGGGACCGCGGTTCAATCCCCCAGCACCACATGCCAGCCAGCCCCTCCCCCTGGTGGGCTGAGCTGGACACACACACACACACACACACACACACACACACACATAAATAAATAAATGTTTAAAAAAAAAAAAGAAAGATATTGAGAAGGGGAACCACTGGGTCAAATGGAACCTCTAGTTTTAATTTTTTGAGGAATCTCCATATTGATTTTCTTGGTGGTTGTACTAGCTTATATTTCCACTATAAAGGACAAGGGTTACTTTTTCCCCAAAGCCTTACCAGCATTTGTTACTGGTTGATTTCTTGATTATAGCCATCCTTTCAGGAGTTGTTTTAATTTATATATCTCCAACAATCAATGACGCTGAATATTTTTTCATGTACTTATTTGCCATTTTTATGTCTTTATCTGAGAAGTGTCTATTCATTACAGATGACCATTTTTGGATTGGGTCTTTAAATTTGGGGGATCTCCTGAGTTCAATCCCCGGTTCCGCCAAATAAATAAATAAATAAATAAATAAATAAATAAAATAAAATAAATAAATAAATTTGGGGGATCTGATTTTTTTAAGTTCTTTCTTTATTCTAGATATTAGCCCTTTGAAAAGAAAAAAGCTGGTAAAAATCCTTTTCCATTCTGGGTTATCTCTTCCTTCTGTTGGTGGCTTCTTTTGCTCTGCAAAAGCTTTTTAACATGATGAGATCCCAGTTGTTAATTCTTTGTGATATTTCCTGTGTGACTGAGATTTTGTTCATAAAGTCTTTGCCTATGTCTTCAAGAGTTGTACCTAGTCTGTCTTCAAGCAGGTTAAGTGCTTTGGTTTTAAATATTTAGATCTTTGATCCATTTCAATTTTAGTTTAGTGCATGGTGAGAACTATGAGGCTAGGCTCAGTCTTTGGCATGTGGAAAGTCAGGTTTCCCACTATCTTCTTCCAGTGACGGTGTTTGGCCACTTTATCAAAAACAAGGTAGC